TTGAGGCACTATGCTACAAGCCGGAAGGTCGAGGGTTCAAGTCACGATGTGGTCATTGGATTTTTTCAGTCGACCTAATCCTTCCAGCCGTACTAGGCCCTGGGGTTTACTCAGCCTCTAACAGAAATGAGTATCAGGAATTAGTTAAATAATTTTCCTGTGGAGTAAAGCTCGGCCGACGCGTAAGGCCGACAACCTTACAGCCATTTTTGAGCCGATTGTCTAGATAATGTGGAAGCCTCAACATCTCACAACCCTATGGGTCTTCACGGCCCGATACAAGGATAGCTTTACTTTTACTTTTACATGAGTATATGCTAATTTTTCAATTCGGTTTGTATAGTAGTGTAAATCGTGCACTTTTAATCTAAGGGAAGAGAAAAAATTACAGACTTTTGAAAGAGAATGCGCAGGAAAACATCTGGATTTAATAGTGAGAAGGAAGATAGTAATTTGGATATTCCCTCTACACAACGAAGAGCTTGGTGATTTACATATCCCGCTTAGGAACTAACTGTTAAGATATTTCTATAGATAATGCTGTTATGGGCTGTGTTTTAAACAGAATGAAGGAGTCAAGAAATGTTTATATCATTTTGGAAACAGGAATATATTAAGAGTGTTTAGTTTAAAAACTTGGACGTAGATGGAAGAATAACGTAGCTCAGAAACGTGTCATGGCAGGCTGTGCTCTTAGCAGCAATGAATCTACGAATGCTGATACAGTGTTAGAGCAGGTACGAATTTGGAAAAGGTGATCTTTGTCTGTTTAAAGGGAAGTGACCAGCATTCCCCCAGGGAAACTAGGAAGGCCACATCAAATTTTATTTAGGATCACGGTATTCAGACTGAAGTTTCAGCTGCGTGTCTTTCAGGTACATACATATCTAGAACGTTACTGCCACAACAGCCTTCAATACTAAAGAAATCCAAACCGTGGAATAGATTGTTTTGGATCGCAAAATGACTGAGATGCGAAACACCCTGATTAAAGAGGAAGCTACTGTGGGCTAATTCCCGGAGGGATCGAGGAAAATCACGCAGAATTCTCTCAGATTAGAACAATTGTCTATACATGTCCAAAACCTGTGGAAGCTGTAACTCGATTACTTTCCAAAGATTTAAAATCATCCATGTTTTTTGTCTACTTTCTCTTACCGCTTATTTTCAGTTAGAGAAAACACATTTGAAACACCTTCATGTCTCACAGTACTTACCCCTGAATTGCTTTTTTATTATTTCAAGTTGCACGACCAGACTTTATGTTACAACATATGTGACGCCATTATGTGGGCAATTAAATGGGCATTATGCACGCATATACGCTTTCGTGAGAAGAGGCGGCACTTGGTTAATGGAAGTGAATAATACCGATAGGATCATTCAGTTTACCTGTCGTTATCTTGGTTAAACATTAGAAATTGGAATGTAAATAGTCTGAACACGGCCTAAGTCCTTTTATGCATTCTTTGAAGGAGGCAAAAAAAGAAAGCCTGTTGGAGATATCGTGTGAATTTTGGAGTTTGTTTATTTCAATAAGATTAGTGTCTTCTGGGACTGCTACTATATAGGCTGGTAGACACTTTTCTTTTATTTTCTTTATTGCTAGTGAGGTGGGACTAAGTCCCTTGTACTGCGGCCATTTCTGGCCTATTGTACCAACCCCAGATGATAGGTGAGGGTGATTGTAGAGCAATTGGTGGAATGATGATTGGCAGGTGAAACCGAAGTACTCGGAGAAAACCTGCCCCAGCGTCACTTTGTCCACCACAAATCCCACTTGACCAGACTCGGGATCAAACTCGGGCCGCCGCGGTGAGAAGCCAGAGACTAACCGCTTGAGCTATGGCGTGGCTCAAATTTTAGCTCGGATAGTGCGCTTACTGTGAATCTGACTATACCTTTTCTTTCCTCTGTAACATTTTTCGTTTAAAATTACCGGAATAAACCTCCAAGCTGAAGATTACCGAGGTCATCTTGTGGCATAAGTGATATTCAACTGTAATAATACTTCATTCTGGCTGAATCTTCCGCTTTCAGTGTCATAATACAGAGATGAGGCATACGGGCGTCATTAAACCCTGAATTTTAGAGGCTTTGCCAGATTCAAGTAATTTTTTTCCTCGGCACTACAGTCCCAGTGGGCCTAGGCCTACCTCCATGAACTTCTCCGTTCACTTCGGTTTTTCTAGATCTTACACATTCGGTAGGACTCCTTGGGCGGGTGATCAGCTCGTCGCAAGGCCTCTACCTGTACACAAACACAGAAAAACACACACACACAAACTAAACATCCATGCCCTGAGTGGAATTCGAACCCACGATCCCGGTTTACAAGCGAGCGAGCCTATTAGAGCATATAGTTATATATACGAAACTGCAAGACCTGAAGCTTTAACGGCGAATAAATATAACAACATCTTTTCCTATGATCAGCCACTTCAAAGCTGATAGAAAAATCAAAGTTCCGGACATCTGTCTCCGGCGTCATGTGAGCGGCATGATTCCTTGTCGTTACATAGGCAACGGCGTATAAACATTCTGCACACCGAACTTGATGATGTACTCCTTGGGCGAGCGATCAGCCTGTCTCAAGGCCGCTACCTAAACACAGGACAACACAAACACAGAATAAACACATACGCATACCAAACATATATTCCCTGAGTGGGATTCGTACCCACGATCCCAGCATCAGATCGAGCGAAGTCAGTTCATGCCTTAGACCGCGCAACTTCTGTGATCGGCGTTTGTTTCCTAGTAGCGTCTATTATCGAGGTAATTAATGGCAACATACACTCATATACACCACAAAAGATTGTATTATTCTTCTTTTGAATACGCTTGAAGTAAACGGAAGGCGCATATGAATAGAGTTCACTCAAACCTGTCTTAGGATATTCATGGAGATGTGAATTCAAGCTGTTAAATAGCCGTCGCGTTACCTGCATGGAGTTGTCAGGTCTCCACTTTCGGTTTTCTGCTTGTTTAGATTGGAGCCCTCGCCCGAATTTTAATGAGCTCATCTCTATGTATATCTTCTAAACGTATATATGTTTTGCAAAGGAAAGGGACTCTTCAAATCTTCGTAAACTAAGCCACGTTCAGTTACAAATACTGCATATATTTCATATAAAAATATCAGTAATCAGTGTATGGGGGCACGCTGTAGCGCAGTTAAGACACTTTGCTAAAAGACGGAAGGTCGCGGGTTCGATCCTCGATGACGTCATTTCAATTGAATAATCGTTCCAGTCGCATTATGGCTTTGGGTCGATTCAGCCGCCAACAGAAATTAGTGCCAGAAATGTTCCTGGGAGTATAGAATGGCAGGCGCGTAAGGCTGACCTCACCGCCATCTATCAGCCGTTTGTGTAGAAAACGTGGGAGACTTGACTTGTCACAGCACTATGGGCCTCCGCGGCCTGTTGCAGGGATAATTTTACATTATTTAATCATGTTATAAATATTGCGCACTAAAACAGAAGAAGGTTCACTCGTTCGTGACCCAGTACATAACTTAGGTTCATGCAAGGCCACGCCATAGCTCAAGCGGTTAGTCGCTGGCTTCCCACCGCGGCGGCCCGGGTTCGATCCCGGGTCTGGTCAAGTGGGATTTGTGGTGGACAAAGTGGCGCTGGGGCGGGTTTTCTCCGAGTACTTCGGTTTCCCCTGCCAATCTTCATTCCACCAATTGCTCCACAATCACCCTCACCTATCATCTGGGGCTGGTACAATAGGCCAGAAGTGGCCAAGGTACGAGGGACTTAGTCCCACCCCACTAGCAATAAAAAAATAGGTTCATGCAACGGGTTGATTCTTGACAGTTTGTTGCTATGGTAATCCCAGACTGCGTAATTGTAAAACAAAGCGTATTATCTACATATATAGTTATGTGTATGTGAGGATATTTGATTCACTTAAAACGGTTACTATTACGTGACGCGTCGCTGGTTCTTATAAGGTCAAAGGTAGGTAAAGGCATCCCTGTAAGAGGCCGAGGAGGCCAATAAGGTTATGAGAGGTCGAGGTCCCCACATTTTCTAAACAATCGGCTCACAGATGGCGGTGAGTTGCCAGCCTTAAGCTCCGGCCGCCCTTTACTTCCAGGAATATTCCTGGTACTCATTTCTGTTAGAGGCTGGGTCATCCCCAGGGCCATAGTACGGCTGTAAGGATTAGGTCAATTGAAAATATCCACCTCATAGGAATTCGATCCCGCGACCTTCAGGCTTGTAGCATAGTGCTTCAACCAACTACGCTACCACATGCCCCCACTGGTTCCTATAAACGAATATATTATTGCAGAATTTTAAGAGTTTTAGAGTAGGTTCCTTCCTGTTTTCCGAAATAAAGACGTAGTTTTACTTTTGTATCGAAATTGTTGCTGTGTTAAATTTCGAGATCTCATGTAAACCATTCGATATTCTGTAATGGAAGAACAGAGCGTATACTCATATTACAGCCCTGTAGAGAATTACAATGCCGTGACGTCGTGTAGATATTGTGTTAACTGACGTTTCTCCTAAAAGTCAATTAACACAATACCTACACGGCGCAACATCCAAGAAAAACAAATTTCTTCATAGACACCGCCGTGAAAACCTCAAATCTTGCTGTAGAGAATTGTCTCTCAATAGAACGTTACTGAAACACCAGCACTTCGCCTGCCGGTATAATACAATCTACAGAGGTTTAATAATGTGATGAAATTACTCATGAGAGATATACAGTACAAATCTTAAATTGAGATTTAAGATTTCTTTCATTTTCCATCATAAGAATGGGATAGGGAACGCCTTGGTGACAGCCAGTTACTGTTTTTCTTTTCTTAGGTTTTATCCCATTAACTATATAAACTCTGCTCTTTCCGAACGGAGTATGAGGTTGAGTTGTAACTCCTGCTTTTCCTTTCTCTATGTGTGTCTTATGTCCATGTGTTCTGTCTTCTCTGTATTCGTTTGCTGGGACTAAAGACAAATATCATTTTCCGTTTCCAGCACCAGAGTGCAGCACAAACGCTGGTGAGTGTCTTCCCTTTGCTTACTTCCTTTCATCTTATTAGAGGATTGCATCTCATTTATCTTCTTATACAACTTAATAAAGTTATTTGAAAGTTTGAAATCGTTTATTTGATTCGTGATCGGGCATAATTTGCACTGTGATGTAGTTGCACGCTTCTAGTTAGCACAATTTTGCACCAGTAAGCATGGCCCCTGTAAGGGCTTTCTCTTACACACCGTGTTTCACTATAGTAGCTTATTATTATTATACACTGCATTTTGAACATTTTAAGTTGGAATGCCTTTCTCCGGTATTTGGGAACAGTAGGATTAGAATTCGAGTCTTACACTATTCAAGCTATTCGCAAAGTCCTGTGGACCTTCCGAATGACTTGGATTGCACACTGATAACGTTCTTCTGTGGTATGTGTGTGAGAGCTTTCCTTTCCTCTTTAGAGATATTTATCTTGTGTCTGACCGGTTCATGAAGTGGTAATATCTTTCACCTTATTTAATGTAAAGATTTGAGATGTGTTTTCAATTGGTTTTACATAATTTGCAAACTCATGCAAAACGTAATATTTATGATGTAGAGTTAATACACGTATATCATGTCATGAAAGAATTCCAAGGTGGGATACGATTTTTAGTACAGCGAATGATTTCTATGTTTGTGCTCATGGAACTTCTAGATTTGATCTTAATTGTATGCATCCTGTTGTGTATCATATAGAGGATATGTAGAGTAAGCACAGTCTACACAACAATATTTCTGAAAGAACAACAAAATGGACACACATTCTGTTGAAGTATTAATGTCTATTTTGTCGTTCTTTTCAGAAATATTGTTGTGTAGACTGTGCTTACTGTATACTTCATATATTCTCGATTTGATGACAGCTCAAGTTTAATAAGCAGACATCACCGAGCAAACTGGCTCAGTCGATACCGAATCTGACTTTTATTAGGAAGGTGTGTAGTTCGAGTTTTGGCCAGGACACAGTCTACCTTGAGAGAGTTTCGTGTTTTTACTCATTTTGTATAGGCAAATGCCAAAACAATATCTTGAAATAGGCCACGTCCGCTTCCTTCCAGATCTTTTTCAAATTCATCATTCATTAATCATCCTACTATTTTATCTGACTTATCGAGGAATTTGGATGGCTCTGTCGGTATAGCGACGGGCTACTGACCGAAAAGCCCGGGTTTAATTCCCGACATGACAAGATTTGCTCTCCTCCGCAGCGTCCAGACCGGCTCTGGGGCCCAGCCAACCTCCTGTCAAAATGGGTACTAGAGGTGGTAAAGCTGCCGGGGCGCGAGGCTTACCACTTCCATCTAATGCCTAGATTAAGTATGTTGGAGCTCCAATACTCCATATACCTTCATGTCATAGTGCTTAATTAAGTAAGCACAAGGACAACTTAACAATTTTTACCTTTTAATCTGACCTATCGACACCGTCATTAAATAAGTAATAAATAAAAACCAAAGAATATCGAAGTGTGAAGAATGCAACTGAGGCGTGTTGTATTCATTGGCTTTACAAATTGAAACACAAATGTCCCTCAAGATCTGTACATGTGTCTGAGTTATCGTCCTTACGAAATTCATATTATCTAACAATTAAATGATCAGAATAAAATGTCGTTTCTCAATTTCTGTCCTAAAAATTCAGGATAAAGATGCAGGTATGTCAGTTTTGTTGATAACACCTAATTACGTCCATATTCATCTCAGCGGACTGCCTGAATAGCATCCCTCTTGTCCGTGCCTCGGGACGTCTTTTTCTAGCCAAAGAAAAATTCTTTCCGTCTGCGCCAACAAAGCGTTTTACAAGAAAACTGTTATCTGTAAGCTCTCATTGAATCACAGGATAATTTTCCATTATTACTGAAACTACGTACACTTACGGGTATGTTCGTGCACTTGCAACTACGTGGCATATATGCAAAACACAGTCTTCAGTGCAGCGCCGTGGATTCTGGCTGAAACGCCACATGTTCCTCGTGGTCTCACGAGTTAAACATCATGTTTCGACCATACAGCAGCCATCATCAGTATATATTATCTACACGTATGTGCTTAGTGTGTCTTAGAGCGTGAAGTCTGTACGTATATTCTTTTACTTAAGAAGTCAAATTTGTCCCTGTGTTTAATCACTTAAGCACTATGCCATGAAAACAAAGGGGGGGGGTGAAAGTATAGCTCCATCTTTCTTGACTTTACCCCCGGGTAAACAACCTCCGGTACCCCAGATAGGCGGCTGGGTGAACTTCAAGTCCATCTGGACGTTGTGGAGAAGAGAAAATTCTAACACTGACGGGAATCGATCCCGGGCCGTCCATCCCGTAGCCCGTCACAATTTACAATTTACGTAGACCATATATATGCTTGACGATAGCTCATGTATGGCCTAAACATGTAGCTTAGTTCATAAGAGGACATGGAATGCGAAGTGTGTCAGTCAGAAATCAAGATGCTGTAGTGAAGACGGTGTTGTGCATAGGCATAATCACGTGATGTAGCTATTGCAGTAGGATAGGACGTACAACTTCTTGTACTCCACTTTCGCTTTCACTTCAAGCGATACCAGTGGCGGACCATATGTATTAAGAAATATCGGGAGGTTGACAATATTAGATCTGAATTTTTCACGGCGGCTAAGATTGATAAAATCCGTCAGTTTTTTTTTTATTTACCGACCTTTCGGGGACCATCTCTGCCCACGTCATCACGTGACATTCGAACCTGCTGATGGGGACGGAGGCTGTCCCTGGAACGTGAGTAATTTTTAACCAACTCACACAGATGATTGCCAGAAAAGATTTTTATTGATAATATCTCTTCACCGATGAAGCCTAGTATACTGATGTTTGTGGAGCCTTATATGCTTGGTAGCGATATACAGTAGTAATTAAGAACAACTAATATGCCCGTGCAGAAAAATCGGCACTACAGTTTCAGAAAATATTTTGTTAATCACAGTGGTTAATTATGGTCCATGCATCCTCAGCTCGGTGTAGTAGACTTTTTGAATCAGCCTATAATGCGACTTCCTGAATATCCTGTAGCCTTTCCCTACTCTTCTATCCGGAAGTTTTCATTTTCACCCCCTCCATCAATCCTTCGTCCTCACCGGATCCATGTCGAGGGGCGCTGAGACGTTTGTGGCTTGGTTGTCGATTCTGTGACGTGGATGTGAAACCGGGGCAAGATCTGCTCCTGATCCATTAAGGGCGGTTACTCGAACCGGTTGTTCTTAAGAGCCCCAGAGTGAGTGGCATGTTTATCCAGATTGTGTTTGCTTGTTGTTAGTTCAAAACCTTTCATCTGCTTCTCTTCTCATCTCCTACACGTCCCCACGCTTGCACTTCACCTTATCAACCGAGACCACTCCTTCGTTATGTTTGTGTAATTTAAATTTTTTATTGTTTTTCATTGAACCCTATTTCCAATTGACCTTAACTCTATTAAATAAGATCTAAAAGTTCGTGACAACGATATATTAACACAATTACTAATCTGCGGACATTATCCATATTGCTGTTTTTATTTGAAACAACTCTGTGTCCGTCCTCAGGTAAATAGGGCGACTAATCAATAGAACTAGTCCCTATCTGCGGAGATACAGTCTAACTGAGCAGGCCTAATATCTCAAGACAGAGGCAGAGTCCAGTATCTGAAATGTTTTTTTAAATAAATTTGACAGGGGCGTGAAGCTAAACTACCTCATTTCCATCTGCTGCCGAGGATTTTGATGCGTGGAGCTTGAACTCCTTGGTCCACGGTTCAAAATTCATGATGAGGGATCACTTAATTCTTATTAATGCCCTTCATCGAAAAGTGCACAGATAGTAGATATCTCATATCTATATTTGAGGCAAAATGGTCATGCAAAATATTCTTTAGGAACAAAATTTTGCAAAGCCTGCTGAAGGTAACAGTCCTAATAATATTGATTCTTGTATGTAGATCTTAATTCTTATATTAAAATTATTATCTTTGCAAGAATTTTAGATGAAATAACTCATATTTAAGAACACAATATTAACCGAAGAGTAAAGGCATTTAGGCCGCTAAGAATTCAGAAATCAGATGGAGAGAAGAAGGAACGTCCATTTAGTTTTTATAGTAGAACATATAGTATTCATGTTATGAAATTAACTTCGTTAAAATATAAGCAAAGCTTTTATAAAGCGCCATATTGATTCATATGAAATGCAAAATGGCTTCTAGTCTTCTGTAAGAGGCAATTAAATGCTACTTAGCAATTCTATTTATTCATATTCCTTATTGCTGTAAATACACACTCAGTAATTGTAACAAGGATTAATAAATTCTAAGGGTAGAACATTCCTTTATAGATTTAAACTGTTTAGTAAATTACAATAAAAAATAAACATGATTAACATTCTGCAGTTACGAACAAGAGATTCGAATGCATTACATTTGGTTTCCTGATTTCAATTTTGATGGTTTTATGCGTAACTTTTTCTTTAGTTTAACTAAAACGCAGGTTCACATTAACTTATTTGCATGAATCAAGCTCAGAATAACAGTGACGTAAGCGTAAAGCGAGCTGTACTGTGCAGTCTAGCACACGTAGATCCAGTAACAGAGGTTAGAGAGCTTGTATTTCATTGCTCGTGCAACACGTAACAGCACCAGCTAGAGCAGTGTTCCTTTCGGATTACAAACAGCAAGAGTTGCATGCACTACGCTACTTGCTTTAGTCGTATTTTACAGAATACGTACTCTGATTACACGCAGGCTCCACACAGGCTCCACACAGGCAAAGTGCTTCCTTACGATGTCTCCAGCAACTATATGTAATGCAGCCTACAATTAACAATTGTTTCTTATTTATTTCTAACATTTAAATATGGAGTTAAGTATTATTGTTGTTCTTCTGCTTCCCTGTATTATACTGTTGAACGTGGAAAGTTGGGAGTTCACCCCGGAACTTCTGCTAGACAAGAGATGTGTAGCATGGAATATTGCTCTTCTGTTTCCCAGTA